AAAAGGGGACTTAGCCGCTGAAAGTCAATACAAGTCGGATACCTCGCTACCCATTTTGCCTTGATAAATCTCCCCCGTCAGTGACTGCAGACGTGGGGCAGGGAGTGAAAGTGTATAAAGGATTCGTCACATTCCCTAAGTGGCAAACGTACAGATCTCCGACATCGGAAAGACAGAGGTGACCACAACTAAAACGTCTCTCTCCCGAGTCCTTTGCTTAGCAAAGCGTGTGACATGTAACTCCGTGACCTTCGCAGCTGCTTTTGTCCTGGGCTGTTTGAAACTGCCATTTCCTCAGACATCTTTTGTGGACAGCGGCCAAACTCCTTCCAGCGAAACCAGGCAGCGGCTATTCCCCTCTCGTGCACACGGAGCTTCTCATCGGAGGGCACAAGGAGATAGGGGCTTGGTCCTCTCCCTCAGATGAGTTCCTGAGGGGCATGCGTCCATATAAAAGCCACTGCAAAGTCTGGCACTATTAATATTTTTTTTCCTTTCCCTCCACCGAGTTAATGGGAAACTGCTAAAACACTAACCCTTTAGTTAAAGGGTGCGATTGGCAACATTGCTTTGCCCTAGAATAATTCTCCCAACAGGTTTGATCACTGCCACTCTCTTAATCTTTGCAGATGGCCCTTTTGTTTCTCCAGGGAGTCTTTAATTACCTTCTCTCTCTGTTCTAACTTGGTCATGTCCTCTAATCTGAGCATGTGGGCTAGTTTGATGCCCTACTCCAACAAAGCGCTTAACCCCGTGCATAACATTAAGCAGTCCTATTCACTGCAGTTGGGCTATTCCCATGCGAAGAGGCTTTTCTAGACTAAGACCTTAACACTACATGTGATTGGGGGGACAGTTTATTTAGTGGTTAAAGCAAGAGACTGAGCATCCTCAGTTCCCATACTACTAAATTTAACCCTGGACTAGTTACCTTGGACAAGTTTCTTCCCCACTATATGCCTCAGTTTCCATACCTGTAAAGAGGGGGTGAATGACCCCCCCCCCCCCCCACACACACACACACAGCCTGGGATTATCAGGCTTAATTAACAAAGGGCTATATTCCGATAGCCTTACTCCACACCTGGTCCCGCTGACCTCAGTGAGGTGGTTGGAAGAGTGAAGCTCTATACAGCATGGATAAAGCCAACAGAAGGGGACCCAAGGTGCTTGGAGATCTTCCTGCACAGTCCTGGGGTTTACTCTGAACAAGGGTCTCCATTCTCCCCCATAAATCCACATCCTGGCCTTAAGAATATAAGCTCCCAGAAGTCCCTCTGCTGCCACAACAGAAATTCAGCAGCGTTCCCTTGCAAGGCAGTGATATAACTTGCATTACGTGTGTGTGTACGTCAGACATAAGCCGAGAGATCAGTTGGCCAACAGGTTCCTTGGCCGCTGCATGCCCTGATAACTCAGTGGTCCCATTCTGGGGCAGAAGCTTGACAGTGATCTTTAACTGTTCAAGCTGCCCTCGGCCACGTTCTGGTCAAATCCTTCCTTTGGAAACGCACATACTGCTCCTGTTGCCTCCGGTAGTAAATTCCACATGGGTAACCAAGCCGGGAGGTGATTCACTGTCTTCCATGCCATCAGAGGCTCTCGGCTGTAGTGGGGCAATACGTCAGCTCCAGGTATTCACAGCCGAATAAGTCCTCCAGCTTCACCTCCCCACCAGAGAAATGGTTTAATCACCGCAGAACTTCATTCCTCCTTGGTGGAGCCATTTTTTATTATTTCTACTACTGCAACATCTAGGAATCCCAGTCGCTGTGCTGGACAAAACACTGAACAAGATGACTATCCCGGCCCTCAAAAATGTCTAGTCTAAATAACTAAATCATTAAATCCATCCTTCACACTCGTGAGAACCGTTCTTTACACCACTATTCTCGGGTGCTCTCCCAGTCTCCTTTTAAATGACTCAAGCAACTACTTCCCTCGGGAGATGATCATAGTTTGTCTTCTGCTCTGTGTTACATCCACTGAAGATCTCCTTCTCCAGAGCGTTCTAAGTTCCTCTTCCCCCGGTGTGTGCAGCCATCCACTAACACCAAAGAGATCTTCAGAAAGACAGACCCGTCTGTGTTCAAAAATGACTTCTCAGTCTCTCATGTGAGCGCTGGCTCTCTTTTTCCAACATCCGCAACTGGATCAAGTTCCAGTCTCGCCCACACTGATCCACGAGAACCCCATGTCCATGAAGCTGCACTGGAGAAACCCCTCAACAGCAGGAGAAATCATTGGGTCCCATCACATGGGCAGACCACTTCAGACGCAGTTCTGCACGTAGCCGACACAGCGGAATGCTTCCCTCACGACAGTCACCTTGCACCTGGAAGCAGCAGCTGTCATATGAGACACCCGGGTCTCACTGCAGATTCCCTTTGTCAGCAATTCACCTTCCAGGACTGCAGCTCACTTTCCTCTCTGCTCTCCGGCTGCGCTAGGGAGGATGTCAACCCAGACAGATGGGGAGTTTCCGGGCCTCTGCTCAGCTGAGTATGACGCATCGTAGCCAGGGCTAGCTAAGCTATTTGACTAGCAAATAAGCCAAGCACGATGCACAATGTGAAGAGGGACCAGGCGATGCACTCTCAAGTCAGGAACTTACTTCTTTATCACAGCAATGATTTAAAGTGTGATTGTGCAGCTCCTAGCATGACACATATGGATTTCATGCAGGGCATAACTGGGATGAATGGGATAAAAATAGCCAAAGGATATGGCTGGATATCAGCCCATATACAATGTCCTGATAGTGAGATCTGTCAGTGTGTTGAATAATCTCCCAACAGAAGGCTTTGGAGCCCCATTGCTTGACTCATTCCAACAAAAATGAAGAAACCAATTATGGGGAAGAGAGACCTGAAGAACCAACCACTGGGGACAAGGCTGCATGAGCTAAGCAGGGCCTGGAAGGTCCAACAGGCCCGTGTCAGACCTAATGTCTCCGATCGGATATATGGGCTATCCCAGAGGAGAACTGCAGAGGTTCAAGAGAGCCTGTGTCAATGACAGGCACAGCTCCAGCATGGAGCCAGGTAGCCAGTGTAGAGGAAAGCTCGCCAGCATGACCTTGAGGAGGTTTTCCCATCAGTGTAGGGCCATGCCCTGTACTTGTGCGCGTGCATATGTATGTGTAGGTTTGTGTGCAAGCTGCTCTGTTTGCGTGTGTGAAAGTTTATGTGGGGTCAGGAAGGAATTTCCCCCAGGTCAGACTGGCAGCGTGTTTGGGGCAGTATTCAACTTCCTCTGCAGCACATGAGATCACTTGCAAAGATAACCCGTGGCCAGGTTATACTAAACTCAAAAGGTTGGCTTAAGGGATGTAACTCCAGTTATGGAAATAACATAGCGGGAATCGACATACCTTACGACGAGTTTGGTGCCTTCTCTACAGCGGGAGGTTGATGGGAACAAGCTCTCCCATCCGCTTCCCTACTCCTTGCGCCAACTAGGGGGCGCCTTCAGCGTCTGATTTAGCCAGTCCTTACTAGACCCACTAAATCAAATGCCAGAAGATCGATCTCCAGAGTGGCAAGTGAAGATGTGGCCTGAGTATCTCTCACAATCAATTTCCTGCCATTGCATGTCCCTCCTATTCTTTGCCAGTAGCTCATAACAGCTGAGTGTACTGTGGGCTGTAATGAAGGCTCCTTTCACTTGTTGGGTTTAGGGTGGGGGTAGTGTTGGTGGCCTGTGAGAGACCAGCTTGATGTGGTGCTCTCCTCCGGCTTTTAACTATGGTGGTGGTGTTCATATTTATAAACTGGGCTGCATGGTTGTATGTGTGTTTCTGGGCATGTGTCTGGATCTGTGATCACAGCGTGTAGTTACACCCATGCCTGTACGTAGGCAAGCATGTGTAGTTGTCTGAGCATGTGTGCGAGGCCAGGTGGGTGAGGTAATATATTGAATCGAATTCTGTTGGTGAGAGAGACAAGCTTGTCTGTGTAAGCTGCAAAACCTTGTCTTTCTCCCCAACAGAAGTTGGTCCAATAAATGAGATTACTTCACCCACCTTGTTTCGCTAAAATCCTGGGACTGACAGGCTACAACATCACTGCATATCGGTGTGTGTCACCAGTGAGTCAGCCAGAGAAAATCATAGGGTGTGTCCACCTCCAGCAGCCTGAATCAAGAATCCTTTTTGCATTTCATTGCAGCCCAGGAACCCCCAGAATCTGTCCAGGGTGCAAAGGACTCCAGCGAGGCAGATGGGGAGGGAAAGAAGCCAGTGTAAATTGAGGGGAATCTTTAGCAGCCCTCCACTATCCAGTCCGTCTCCACATCCAGTCATGGATTTGCCAGTACCGCTTCACTAGACTGGCTCTGGAAAAGTTTGGCGAGAATGAGGACTCTGATGCCCGGGGGGCACAGGAGCTGCCTTACTATCAGCGCCTGGGAGTTAAGGTTATAACCCTCTTCTGCCTCTCTTACTGCACATGGCTCAGACTCCATGCAGGGGAGGGGAATCAGACAAGTTGGCCAGGGGAGTGAGCATCGGCCCAGACGTTGGCAGGTGCAGAACAGAGCCTCCCCGAGGACCAAAACAGAGCTTCCTTTGGAAGGAGAGAGGGACTCAAGCAGTTAGATGCTAGGACACAAGCCGTTTAACTTTCGGATCCGATGCAGCCCTGAGGCTCGGGGGCTAGCAAGTGCCGAGTCCAGAAGCGTCAGGGCTCAGCCCTGACACAAATGAAGCCCCGGGGCTCTCAGATCCTGTTAGCCAGCACGGAACCGGGGTGGGCGGGCATGCCCCCGCGCCCCTCGCCCCTCTCCCCAGGGGCAGGGAAGCAACAGGGGATGTCGGCGCCCACCCGCAGCAGGTGGGGGACGCAGGGCTCGCCCAACCCACGGTCCTGGCTGCAGCAGCTGCTCCCAGCAGCCTCCTCCCTGCCCGCGGCACGGGCTCTACCTAGCCACACAGTCACTTCCTTTGGTGAAAACAACCGCCCCCTTCCCCGAGCAGGCTGCCCCCCGGCTGCCCCACTCACCCCAGGGTGCTGATGAAGCCATTGACCGAGCCCTCGGCGTACAGGGAGACGATGTCCCCGACGTGCAAGAAGCTGGACATCTCATTCATGGTGGCCGCGAGCTGCCCTGCTCCCGGGCGGGCGCGCGGGGCCGGCGGGGCGCTCCGGCAGCAGCGCTGCAAAGGGTCCCCGCCCCGCGAGGCGCCAGCTGCAGGGGGCGCGAGGCCGGGGGGCTCGTGCACGTGCTCCCGGCGCGCGAGCGCTGGCGGAGGCAGCAGCGGGCTGGGGCAGGGGGGGAGAGCGCTTCCCAGGTTGGCACACGCGGGCGGCTGGGGCTCCGGCCGCTCGCTACCTGCAGCCAATGGGAGCCGAGCAGGAAGTCCTGCCGAACCCCCGCATGCAAATTTCGCCTGCCCGGGCGGCCCCGCAAGCCCCGCCCCTGCCTGCGACTTGGGAAACTTTTTTCGGGCTGCCCCGCGCGGCGGGCATCGGTCCCCCGGGCGCCGCGCAGCAAGGGGCGCGTCCCCCCGGGGCGAGCGCGGGCTCCCGAAGGGTGAACCCTGCCGGGGATAGACGCCTCTGCAAGCCGCGGCCCCCCACTTCCAGCGCTTGTGGCCAGCGGGCGGAGGCGGGGGCATTTTTTCGGCCTCCCCCGCCAGCTTGGCTGGCAGCCCCTGGCTGGGGCAGACCCCAGGAGGGCTTAACCCCCGCTGACCGGTTTGCAGGTTGGCCCGGTGCTGGAACTCAGGGGAGACCCTAGAAAGGGGTGGGCTTAAACTGTGCAGTGGGACATCACATCCCCTTGCTCTCCAAAAAATGGTCCCTTGATTTGGTTAAAATTGCCCCCCCCCCCCCCCTTGGGGGTTACACAGCCAATCCTGGCAGAGCTGGAAATATAAACCAGGAATTCTGACTCCTAGTTCCCCTGCTCCAACCACTAGACTCCACTCCCTCCCAGTCTGCACTCCCGCCTCTCATTTTTTTAAGCCCTGCGCTCCCATCCCATTCCAGAACTGGCAACAGCCGAATAGCCTTGTGTCCTAGTCCACTGCTCTAACCATTGGACAAAACTCCCTTCCTAGACGTGGGAGCAGAACTAGGGATCTTGATTCAGCTCCACCCTTCTCTAACACACTAGACCCCACTCACCCTCCCTGAGCTAGGACCTGAACAGTCTGAGGCCTGACTCAGCTCTCTTTGCTCTGATTGCTGGTGCTGAGATTAAAGGAGGAAGAGGAGAGTGTTCAAAGAGACCAGTTTTTCACACAAAGCTGAAAAAGCAGAGGGGGAGGGGGAATTAAACATGGAGATTTTGACCCAGGTTGTTCTCTCCAGGACTTGGACTTGCTGGAAAAATCAGCATCTACTGCATATGGGAGTCCCTGGAGTGAGCCACCTCTGACCGGTTTCAAAGCTTTCTATGGGCTTGCTCCTGTCTGCTCAGACCTTTTCTCTCTCCACCTTCAGCTCATCCATCCCCAGCCTTCCCTCTGTCCTGCAGTGTGGCCCTAGGGGATGCAAGACCACAGCTTACAAACAAATAGCAACGGTAAAGCCTCATTTAAGGCCAGGTTGGTCCCCACCCACCCCAAAGCAGGGACCAGCCACCCTTCCAATCTCTGGAAGCACTAGCCAACAATGTTCCTTATAATTTTTCCCATCCGCGTGTGGAATAAATTTTGTATGTGCACCAGGCATGCAGATGTGCACCACCAATCAAAACATATGCTGCTGTCTGTGGGAGGCTGTGAGTGCTCTGCTAATCAGCTGGGCATGAATGTCTCCTTGGTGGCTGCCTAAGCGCTCAGCTAGCCACCCCAGGGTGCATTGGGGGAGGGGGAACTGGACAGTTGTGGCAGGGATGATGCTGGGATCAGCACAGTGGGGAGAGGTTGAACACAGGCCTCTAATCCAGCCGCTACTCCATGGGCTCCCAAACTGGGGGACGTGCTCCCCTGGGGGGGCATGAAGAAATTCCAGGGGGGACTCGAGGAGACCAAGCCTCCCTCCAATCAAATTTTGCTGCCCCGTTCAGTTCCTTTTTTGGGGGGGCGGTGTCAGGGTTTTTCAAAAATCAAAAACGGGGGCGTGATGCCAAAACGTTTGGGAACCACTGCTGTACTCGATACCAAGGTGCTCTGAGAGGGAGTCTTGCTACCTTAGTACACTCTCTGGAGTGCTGTGGGGCCGAGCTGTCCCCAAAGCTTGGCTCAAGCTTACCTACATAATACATCTCACTGCACACAGCTTGGCCAAGAATCAGAGGCCATCACAGCCAATGCAAGAATTGAGATTAGGAGGAGCCCTATGTGGGGACAGACTATTGCATGGCTCCTGGACCTTCCTCCGAAGCATCAGCCGCTGGCCAGAGACAGGTTCCTTATGTAGAGGGACCATTTGTTTTGTTCTTAATGCAGCACAATCTCCTCAGATTATGAGCACTGCAGTCATACCAGTTCCATAGATTTAAATGTAACTCTCTCTTGCCTGCTGTCAGAAACATTTTTTTTTAATCAGAGCATCATGCTTTTATGAATCATTTCCCCCCCGTCCCTCCCTGCCAACAAACAACACAACTTTTGAAATCTAAATCTTGCCCTAAATGCTGCTGCTGCTGTTTTCTGCTAGGAAACAGACAAATCCCCTGACAGCACCAGGAAATCTAGAACAACTCATACAGGGAAGTTGTGAGTTTAGGTCCGTCAGGATTAGCTGCCTTTCCAGCACAGGATGAATTTAGCATTCCCTATCCCCTGGTGGTGGAGGGGAGAATCAAAGGAGAGCAACTTAGCTGGCGTTCGCTGCAGTGAAGTTTTCTCAACAAGGGCTCAGTGAAAATATCTCCAGGAATCAAAGAGGGAAAGTTTACACACAAATACTCAACTGCTGGGATAAGAAGGGGAAACAGCGTCTTAGACAGCATGAAAGGAGTAGTATTATTGTTCCTGGATTCTCTTCCTGAGCCCACTGCTTTTTTGCTGGGGAACCTTGGTAGTGGTCTCTCACTCCATGCCCCAGCAAAATGGGGATCATGCCGTTACTCGGTTGCACAGGGGTTGGTTAATTGTCCTTTGCGATGTGTTTTGAGATCCCGGTGCAAAAGCTGCGACAGAAGTGCAAAATATTGTACTCAACCAACGCAAGTCTGGCCTCATTTCTGCTCAGCAAGAAAATACGGGACATGAAGCCGAATCCATTTGAAATAATGTTATAAATAAGACAGAGCTCAGTCAGACCCCATTTCTAGCAGTGTCAGGTTCACAGCGTCACAGGACTGACTATTTCAGCTCAGCAACCCATCCAATCTGGAAGTACTGGCCAATACTTAATGTTTTGAATGAGGGTGGAAACCCTCTCCCAATGCACCTCGTTAATTGTAACATACAGACCAGGGCTCGGGGGGTAAAAAACTTCATGTCCCAAGTTCAGATACTTGGCACTTACAATGAAAGCCCTTTACAGGGTTGGGGAAAATCTCGTTATGTCTATTGTACAGCTGCAGAGGACATGACTTACCCACCCATAGCACAGCCAGGAAGAAAACCCCAAATCCTCAACTTTGCTGCATCCTAGAGAACAACTCTCCAGTTAAATGGTAAATCTATGGAGAGAGAGGAGGCCTAAATCAAAACCTAGAATCTTAATCACCCTCCATTCCCCCACCCCCTCAACTATAGGATAGATCACATCCACAACATCCAAAACTTCACAGCCTCAGCCCCCTCTGTCCCCTTTGAGCTGAGCCAGTGCAAACTGAAGTTTTAGATATATCAGTGATGACACACAGTAACCGGAAGGTCCTCACCAGCCACTAAAACTATTTGAAGCCAGAATCCAGCACTGCGGGCTGGCCATTTCTAGGAATTACTGTAGTTGTCTGGTGGGTCCGTGGCCTCATCACCACCACGTCAGGCGTGCTGTAATCACTCAGACAGGCACTGCCTTCCTGCCATGTGGTACGTGCCTTACAAACCTCTGCTTAGTCACTCTCAGCCCAAAGGACAGACAGTTTGCTAGGGTAATAGGACAGTGGGTGGGTTTTGCACCCACCCTGTCTCAGTTTATGACACTGGATGAAATGCAGGAGACACACAGGGCATGGTATTGAGAGGAGCTAGGGCTTACAAAGGGGCTGAGTCTAGACTGGCCAGTTTTTCCGCAAAATCAGCTGCTTTTGCAGAAAAACTTGCCAGCTGTCTACACCGGCCGCTTGAATTTCCACAAGAACACAGGCGATCTCATGTAAGATCGTCAGTGTTCTTGTAGAAATACTGTGCTGCTCCCATTTGGGAAAAAGCCCTCTTGCACAAATCATTTGCGCAAGAGGGCCAGTGTAGACAGCACAGTACTGTTTTGTGCAAAAAAGCCCCGATGGCTAAAATGGTGATTGGGGCTTTTTTGTGCAAAAGCGCGTCTAGATTGGCACAGACGCTTTTCCGCAAAAAATGCTTTTGCGGAAAAGCATCTGTGTCAATCTAGACGCTCTTTTCCGAAAATGCTTTTAACTTTTCCATTAAAAGCATTTCCGGAAAATCATTCCAGTCTAGATGTAGCCAGGATGTTTAGTTCCTGCTCACAGACTTCATCAGGAGCTCTGGATTCCAGGGCCTGGACTGGGCCATTGCTCCATAGTCAGGTAAGCCTAGAGCAGGCCATAAGCCCCTTGCATCTGAATAGAAGTCAGCTTCTTGGTCAGACCAATGCAGGTGGAGGTGTGAGGCACTAGACAACATGGCTGAGGTACCTTGCAGCACCTGAGCTCTTTAGCCCCAGCTGGAATGACTCATGCGTACAGCATTGCAAGCCCTGGGTTCAAACACCAGAGGCACAGCACCTTGATAGTCCAACTCTAGAGGGCCCGGCTTAGGCTGGGAGGTTGTGGAACCTTTGGCAGGACCTGGGTGGTGGTTGAGGGAGGCAATCACATTATAAGGGGCTAGTGTTTGGTTTTGTGGTTTTAAAGGGGCCTCCATTCTTTGGGGGGGTGTGGCTTCGACTTGCTTCTAGATCAGAGAGGGAGAGATGGAAAAATGCGGACACGTGTTTCAGGAAAGATGTGGAGAACCTAGAAAGGGTCCAGAGAAGAGCAACAAAAATGATTAAAGGTCTAGAAGAATGAGCCATGAGAGAAGACTAAAGAATTGGGCTTGTTTGGTTTAGAAAAGAGAAGACTGAGAGGGGACATGATAGAATAAGAAGCAACAGGTCTTAAATTGCAACAAGGGAGGTTTAGGTTGGACATTAGGAAAAACTTCCTGCCTGTCAGGGTGGTTAAACACTGGAATAAATTGCCTAGGGGGGTTGTGGAATCCCCATCACT